GCAGGCGCTACATTTTTATTTTTTTTTTCTTTTTTTAAATTCATTTTAATGTAATATTAATAGTAAATTTTTGTATAATGTGTATTAATAAATGTATTTTTATGCTAAATAATTTTATGCTTTTTATTTATTGATGTATTATAATTTTATTTTATAATTTTATGATAATAAAATAGTACCATATGAATAAGAATTTTTTTCTTTTGATACAGGGACCTTCCGGTTTCCGGATCCACAGGGGACCCGACTAATCCGGAATCGAGCCGGGTAGGACCACAAGGGCGGCAAAGCTCTCCTCAAGAGTTTTAACACTGCTGCATTCCCAGGGCTCGAACCCGAGACCACTGGTTGAGCTGGAAGAGACCCAAGCCATCTCATCCAAGTGCTCTTGGGTTATGAATAAGAATTTAATGTAGAGTAAAATGGTACCATAATTTTTAATATTAAAATGGTATCATAATTTTTTATATACCATATTATTTGAATAAAAATGATTAAAAAAATAATATATTTGATGTAGAGTAAAATATAAAAATAAGAACTGCAGATGTATGTCCAACTCTACGAGTAGAGTAACGTCTTAGAGTAGAAATAAGGGCCGGACTAAGATAGTGAAACAACTAAAATTACAATTTACTCTTTAAAACATTTTTAATTTTTTCTTTATCGGACGGTAATATAGATTCATCAATTCAAGCACGCGCTTGACGTATATATGCTAATACATTACAGAGGAAAAATCGGGAGCTTTATTTATTAGGGATAGTCAAAGGAGTTATTTATTTAAAAGGGATAGTGAAAATGTTATTTGTCCAAATAACCCAACCATTAAGTAAAGAAAAATAAATATTTGAAAAACCTAAAATACCCTTATATATTAAAAANNNAAAAAAAAAAAAAAAAAAAAAAAAAAAAAAAAAAACCAAAACTGAACGGTTTTTTTTATAATTAGCAAAACAAAAAAAAAAAGATCAAAAAGGGAGATTTTGATCCTCCCTTCTGTACGCCCGAAAAAAAAAAAAAAAAAATCTTCT